GTTGTTGTTGTTGGTTGTTGCTGCAGTGTTGTTGTTGTTGGTTGTTGCTGCAGTGTTGTTGTTGTTGGTTGTTGCTGCAGTGTTGTTGTTGTTGTTGTTGCAGCGTTGTTGTTGGTTGTTGTTGCAGTGCTATTTTTGTTGTTGTTGGTTGTTGCAGTGTAGTTGTTGTTATTGTTGCAGTGTTGGAGGCGGGTAGCTACGAGCCAGACATGTTGCCCGGGTTGAGCTGCCCACGCAGCGAGCATCGGTCATTCTTACCGGACTGGCTGACCACTGATATAGTCGTACAGCCTCTAGTCAGCACTCCTCATCATTCCAGCGTCACTAACAACGGTAGGGGGCTGTGTGTGCACGTGCGTGTATGTGGGCGTGTGTGCGTGCGTGTGTGTGTGTGTGTGTGTGTGTGTGTGTGTGTGTGTGCGTGCGTGTGTGTGTGTGTGTGTGCGTGCGTGCGTGCGTGTGTGTGTATGTGGTGTGCGTGCGTGCGTGCGTGCGTGCGCGCGCGTTGTGTGTGTGTGTGCGTGCGTGGCGTGCGCTGTGTGCGTGGCGTGCGTGGCGTTGGTGTGTGTGTGCGTGTGTGTGTTGTGCCAGTGCGTGCGTGCACGATGTGGCGTGCGTGCGGCGTAGGCGTATGGCAATACAAGCAGACGTTGTACGCTGATGCAGTGTATGATGCTCATCACTGAGGAGTATGTCCTCATCCGCACACTTAATGCTGAATTGACGATAGAATGTTTACGTCTGCGTATGTAGCTGACGTTGACGATAGAAAGTTATACGTCTGCGTGTGTAGCTGACGTTGAGAACGATAGAATGTTTACGTGCTGCGTGTTAGCTGCGTTGACTGATAGAATGTTTACGTCTGGCGTGTATAGCTGACGTTGATCGATAGAATGTTAGCGTCTGCGTGTATAGGCTGACGTTGCGATTAGATGTTTTACAGTCTGCGTGTATATTTCAGCGTCACGATCGCGAAGATACGTCATTGTCGTCTGCGCATTGCCTACAGATATATTCAGCGCTTTCGCTTTTCACTCGCATCCTGTCGGGTGAGTGAGTGAGTGTATGGGTGATGTTTGTCCATGGCGTTATTGAGCCACTTAGTAAGAGTGCCGCTCTCTCTTATAATCTCTCTCTCTCCTCTCTTAATCCCTCTTTCTCGCTCTCTCTCTCTCTCTGCTCTCTCTCTCTCTCTCTCTCTCTCTGCTCTCGTCTTTAATCGTTTTCTGTGCGTCTGCTCTCTTCTCTTTCTCTCTCGCTCTTTTTCCTTGCTCTCATCTCTCTCTCGATCTCTCTCTCTCGCCTCTCTTCTTACTCGCTCTCTCTCCCTTTCGCTCTCTGCTCTCTCTCGTCTCTCTCTCTGTCCTAATCTCTATCTCTTCATATTTCTCTTCTCTCTGCTCTCCTCTCTCTCATCCTTTCTTCAGCTCGTTCTAGATCTCTCTCTTTCTCTGTCATCTCTGTTAATCTCTCTCTCACACCTCTCTCTCTCCCTCCCTCTAATCTCTCTCTCTCGGCTCGTATTTTCCTCTCCTCTCTCTCGTTCCCTAACTCTCTGGCTCTCTCTGCTCTCTGTCTCTCTCTCTCTCTCTCTGCACTATTATCCTTTATCTCTCTCTTAGCAGCTCTCTCCTGATTCTCTCTCTCACTTTAAANAAGGGAGAGAGAGCTGCGCGTATGTGCGTGCGGTGGGTATGTGTGCGCCCGCATGTGTGTGGGTGCTTGTGAGCGTGTATGCGTGTGTGCGCGCGTGCGTTTTTGTTTGCGCGCGTGTGTATTTAACCGATAAGAGGCAGATGGAAAGAGGAGAGAAAAGAGGGAGGGGTGGAGGGAACGAGGAATGAAGAGGAGATGCAGATGCAGCACTCAGATAGATGCAGAATGTAAAATGAGAAGAGAGATGCAGATTGTAAAATGAGACAAGAATGAAGAGTCACCTTCTATCCACCGTCTTTCGACTAAACATACAAGCTGAAAGAAAGCTTGCTTAATCATCATGCCCTTACAGAGTATGCACAATGAACACCTATGGTGTCAAGTGATTTCTACATATAATTCTCAGCTTTATGAATGTGAGTACCTACATATATGAATTTCGAACACATTTTCATTGTTGATAGAATAATAGAATTAATGTGAGCATAACAACTGACCAGGCAAATCTTCGAACAACCGCTGACAGGAGACATGACTTTATATACATAGGATATATATAAGGATATATTATATATATAGACTTTATATACACCAAGGCGCAATACAACTTAAAATACAACAACCTGTCCTTCCAATATTTATAATAATACACGTGCACACCAAAAATTCACGTTATACTGCAGCTGAGTAGGCAACGAATCAGTCATTTAGTTATAAATACCATGACACAAAACTTAAGCTGAAGTGCTGAGAACGCGATAATTGTCAACTGTCACCAGTTGCAAAGCTGCACCGATCACATTTCAAGCAATAAGCAAATATACACTGAGAACAATAAATTCAATTGCTATAATAAGCAAACAACAGATGCTTTGCCAAAGTTACGGTGAAAAAGCGCAGCGCAGGGGAGAGATTGATGACGTTAGGTTAGACAAATAAACAATCACGTTAAAATAAGGATGATATCGCCAATGAAAGTCAAGAATGCATCAAATTTCTCTTTTATTTGCGCATGAGAGTTAGTAGCTTGTAAGCTTTGGTCGCAGAGGGAGAGAGAGAGGGGAGAAGGGTTAGTAGCTTGCCGGCAGAGGAGAGAGAGGGGAGAGGGTAGTAGGCACTCGTCTGCAGAGAGAGAGAGGGGGAGATAGGGTTAGTAGCTTTGTCCCGCAAGAGGAAGAGAGAAGAGGAGAGGCTTAGTAGCTTGTTGAGAGCTTGTTAGTAGCTTAGAGAGAGAGTTAGTACAGGGGCGGAAGGAGGAATAAAGGGTATTATATATGTGGAGCAGATGTGGTGCTTGATCTAGTGGACGGGTGACAAGAGTAGCGGGCGATGCAGATGTTCAAGTCTGCGCAGGTGAATCAGTGCTATACTACAAAATTTCATAAACGCCTGCTTGTCCCTGACGGAAGAGAAAGAGTATGAAAAGACGGAGAGTAAGAGAGGGCTGACCGGAGGAACATACAGGGGTTTATTATAGTTAGGATGGGTTGGTGTTTCAGCCACGATTCAAACTGCCAAGTAACCCCCACTAACCACTTGGTCTTATTACCCTACTGGGACGGGGTGGTTTATGAGAGGGTAGAGAGAAGGATATTCATCAAAAGTATAGTGATTTAGTCATGGTAATACAATTAGAGACGAGGGGAGGTGAATTAACTTATGGGGGGGGGGAGGGGCGGTGTGCAGGCTGGGGTCGTTTGCTCTGGTTCCGCACACGTATAGCGACGAGCGACCCGAAACTCGAGCGCGGGGACCGTCCGATGTAACTCGTTGATGGACACAGACAACTAGGAATGCGTTGGGTTTCCCAGGGGCGGAAAAGGGTAGAAAAATGTTAAAAATTTATTGAATGTGGGACCAAAACAAAAGGAAAAGGGAAAGGAAGGCAACGGGGGGAGGGGGGGAGTCTGAAGGGGGCGGGCGATCGAGGAACAGGGAGAAGCGGAAAGCACGCGGCAGGCGCGCGTTACTTTAAACTAAGAGGAACAGGGCAAGGAGATCCTGACTTCGGGGAGTCCCGATAACGAGCCACCGCCTGTCTCAGAGACCGCATTTACGCGGGATGTCAAGGCGTAAACACCGTAGTGGCGAGCTGATGTCCTCTGACGCGTCGTCAAAACGTACTACCGAGGCTTGTTCCGGTCGTCTACGGCTCGCGCGGTCGCGAAGTGCGGTGGAACTGTTTCGCACCTAATACGTCGAAGGACCGGGAAGTTGCGGATGTATCGATTTTAACCGGCAGTACGTCGGCTGGCAATTAGCGCCGTAGCCGAATAGCCAGAGTCGGATGGTTGAGGGCTAAATAGGGGCTAAAAGGTTCGTAAAAACAGGTAACGCAACCCGTAGCGGGCGGAGCAAAGGAGAATCGATAGCGGGAATCGAATGGCCCGCGATGTGAAATCGAAGAAAAATGGGTTAGCGTACCTGTGTAGATAACGGAACCCAGGAGTAATGGATTAGCCGAACCGAGTATATCAAAGTCGTCATTTGGTGTGAGCATAGGCCCGAGCGGTGGAAAATAAGCGCTCAATAAATTCGTTATATGATGATGATGATGATGATGATCGATGGTGAATGATGAATGACCAGACAATTACATTCGACCATAGTCTTGTAAAGTAAAGGAGAGGGATAGTAAGAACGCGAGAAAGAGGTAGTGTGGGGGGAAGGTACTGTTCGTGTCTTGTGTCTGCCCTATCTCTTCGTTGCACTCTTCATCGTCTACCATCGTGTTCACGATCGTTGTTTTCCCTCCGGTCCCATCTCTCCTCATCGTTCCTGCTATCTCTCCATCGGTTTATTTACGAGTTGGCAGCATCGGTGTGTGGAGCATCACGACGAGTGTCGCCGCGTGGCGCACTGGATCACCGCCAGACAGGTAGGCTACGCCACTCATGCTTTCTCCGCACCATGAAGTCACCTCCTAGCTACGATAAGATAATGGCGTAATCAACATGGCATAGAATTGTATATTAGTAATCACTATTAGCTGTGAGGGCAATTGGGCTTCTCTCTCTACTCTACGAGTCTCGCTCCTTTGAGAATCAACGTTATAGCGTTGAATCCCCGTATTTTCTCCCTACAAGCTCAAACCTTCCTTTACGTTCGCGCCCTCCTAACTGATATAGATTAACGTACCTCGGCATTCAACGCACCCAGCTGTAGCAACTCAGGTCCGAGTAGATTTGAATGCTGGAATTAAGCCGCTCGCCCTCGCACAGCCTCCCAACAGTTGAACCGCTCCAAACACGCAACTCTCACGTGTCCCTCGACTCCGCACACGCGCTCACTGCTCGCGAGGTCTCTTCTCTCCCTCTTCCTTCCCTCTCTTCCTCTCGCCCTCCTCTCTCTCTCCCCCCCTCCCTCCTCTTCCCTCCTCCCCTCCCTCTCCCTCTCTTCTCTCACTCTGCTCTTCCCTTCTTCTCTTCTCTCCATTCCCTCTCTTTATATCACTATCTAACCATCATCATATATATGCCTCATGTACTGCCTACCTCCGCGACTCGCGCTTACTCTCGTAGTCTGGTTTGCCGCTCCCCGTCCGACTGGCAGCTACAACCTAACCTGCCACTGTGCCTCCGAACCCAGCCTGACGCTACCCGACGTCACCGCTCGCCCGCTGTCCTATTTTGCCGCCCGCCCTCTCCTCACCTGGTCGGCTGTCTCCCTGACCCGCGTAGCGCACCCTCTATAATGCACGCCGCCACCCGTACGCGCCCTCTATAAATGATACCAAACCCTCGCTAACCCGGCTCTATAATGAGCACCGCAGTTGACTAGCGCCCTCCTCACAGTTGACACGCCGATTGGAGTACAGCGTCCTCTACATAAATTGACACCCCGCCCCCCCGCCGCCCCCACCTCCCGTGGCTCCCTACCCGCGACGAGGACCCCGGCCACTCTACCACCTCCCCCACCCTCGCACCCCCCCCACCCCACATCCACCACACCCACCCTCCCCTCACCCCCCCCCCCCCCACCCCCCCCTTCCCCCCCCCTCCCCCCCCCCCCCCTCCACCCCGCCGCCCACCCCCGCCCCCCCCCCCCCCCACCCCCCCCCCCACCCCACCCCCCGCCACCCACCACCCCCCCCCCCGTGATTGGGGTCAAGCGCGTCGGCCCTCGCCCTACATTGACGCACACGCCGCCGCACTGGCCGACTGTAGTTGCTGCCACATGTTATGACATGCGACCAGCGTTCAGGATGGCCGTAGTATATTCTGGCACTAATCTACCGGGACGGGTGCGTGCCGCGATCATTGCTAATACAGCCGTACGAGGTACATGAGAGTCTCTGAGTGCGCACTATGCCGGTGAGACAAACCCACACACGACGCACGCCAACTCACGACAGTGCTACTCGCACGCGGCCGACGGTCCCGCGACCGCACGCAACGCACCAACGCAACGCACCACGCCACGCACGAGCCCCGAGCACACACGCAGATCGCGCATCTGTGACAGCTGTGCTCAAATGCGCTTCGTCATGTGCATCCCCCTGGAGTTGGAATACTAGCAGCTGATTGGACGACACTTCGAGTTTTTCAACGCGTGTATGGTTCTGGTGTGGCTGGCAAGTGGCTAGTTTCGAGTGTAGTGTTGGAACTGTGACGGCGAGCAAGAAGAAGATACCCAGTACGCAATCATCATCTTGCTGACACGCCGCGTCCCTGGATGTCCATTAGGAAATATTCAGAAGTCAGCACCTGAGTATCAGAGCAGACAGAGAGAGAGAGAGAGGAGAGAGAGTTTTTTTTCGTCCGACGGAATCTCTATTATAGCACGTCTGACAGATCAAATCGTAGTTCTGTGACCAGGCGATGAATCACAGACAGTATCTTCTCAGTCTGTCCGAGTCAGACGTGAGCAGTTAGGTTAAGTGCTGCAACTCGTTACGCCTCACTTGTTTAGCCTTTGGTCTCGTAGAGCATGATTTGTAAGTTGGTGGGTTTCCCGTGCGCAGATGATAAATGCTGGGAGGCATTCCTCGTAAAGGCGACCGCACACAGCAGCCGATTTTTACAGAACGCATGAAGGGCGATGAAGCGATGAAAGCGATGAACGATGAAGGCGAGATGAAGCGATGCAAGCGATGAAGCGATGTACGTGTGGCGGCCGGCCTGAATATTGCGAGCCTGAGAAATAAAATACACAGCGCGTCCAAGCCGAACAACACTCAAGCGGAACAATGCGAATTGAGTGTGGAACTTTAGCAAACAGCCACATCGCCCACCGCTCGATGTCCTCTACCTGTTGCAACTCTTCTAAGGCCTCACGCGCACACACACAAAATTCCGCGTCCGGAATAATCGGTTCAACAATCACAACATGTTTGATTTTGGAACGAGTACCGATAAAAATAAAATCGTTACAAATGAAGCGCAACACCTACATCGTTTGCAAACTCGCTCATCGCTTACGATTGCTTGCATCGTTTTAAAAATCGGCTGGTGTGCCCGGTGGCCGTTAAGTCTGCGAGCTTCGGGTGAGCAGTGCGTGCGTGATTGTTACGTGATCGTTGCGTGATTGTTACGTGATCGGTGCGTGATTGTTACGTGATCGCTGCGTGATTGTTACGCGATCGCTGCGTGATTGTTACGTGATGTTTGTGAGAGGATTGTGTGATGTTTGCGAGATGTTTGTGAGAGGATTGTGTGATGTTTGCGTGATGTTTGCGGGATGTTTGGGATAGAATTGTGTGATGTTTGCGGGATGTTTGCGGGATATTTGTGAGAGGATTGTGTGATGTTTGCGGGATGTTTGCGGGATGTTTGTGAGAGGATTGTGTGATGTTTGCGTGATGTTTGCGGGATATTTGTGAGAGGATTGTGTGATGTTTGCGTGATGCTTGCGGGATATTTGTGAGAGGATTGTGTGATGTTTGCGAGATGTTTGTGAGAGGATTGTGTGATGTTTGCGTGATGTTTGCGGGATGTTTGGGATAGAATTGTGTGATGTTTGCGTGATGTTTGCGGGATATTTGTGAGAGGATTGTGTGATGTTTGCGGGATGTTTGTGAGAGAATTGTGTGATGTTTGCGTGATGTTTGCGGGATGTTTGCGTGATGTTTGCGTGATGTTTGCGGGATGTTTGTGAAAGGATTGTGTGATGTTTGCGTGAGGTTTTCGGGATGTTTGTGAGAAGATTGTGTGATGTTTGCGGGATGTTTCTGAGACGATTGCGTGATGTTTGCGGGATGTTTCTGAGAGGATTGTGTGATGTTTGCGGGATGTTTGTGAGAGGATTGCGTGATGTTTGCGGGATGTTTGTGAGAGGATTGTGTGATGTTTGCGGGATTTTTGTGAAAGGATTGTGTGATGTTTGCGGGATGTTCGTGAGAGGATTGTGTGATATTTGCGTGATGTTTGCGGGATGTTTGTGAGAAGATTGTGTGATGTTTGCGGGATGTTTCTGAAAGGATTGTATGATGTTTGCGTGATGTTTGTGAGAGGATTGTGTGATGTTTGCGGGATGTTTGTGAGAGGATTGTGTGATATTTGCGTGATGTTTGCGGGATGTTTGTGAGAGGATTGTGTGATGTTTGCGGGATGTTTGTGAGAGGATTGTGTGATGTTTGCGTGATGTTTGTGAGAGAATTGTGTGATGTTTCTGAGAGGATTGTGATGTTTGTGTGATGTTTGTGTAATGTTTGTGTGATGTTTGTGTGATTATTACATAATGGTTCCGTGATGATTTCGTGATGTTTGCGTGATTTTTGCATCATGTTTGCGTAACGATTCTGTGATGATTCCGTGATGTTTGCGTGGTGTTTTCGTGATGATTCCGTGGCACATGTGTAATCGTTGCTGTGTTATGTGTCGGCAGGACATTGAGTGGATTTCGCCGGAGGAGCTCATACCTCTAATAGGCTTCACGGTCTCTCTCGTCTGCCTCACTATCACCGTGATCCTCCACATCGTCTGCTGGAGGTGAGTCGCTCTGTCGCTCCACCTTAAGCTAAGTCGCTCTGTCGCTCTGCCTTAAGTCGAGTCGCTCTGTTGCTCTGCCTCTCCTGGGAAGGAGGAGGCTGGGAGTGGAGGCAGGGGAAGAGCTGGGAAGGAGGTGTGGACAGTATTTGGGTTCGGCTGGGGAGTGAGATCATGGAAAGGAGATGGGGAGGAAAGGCAGAAGAAGCCGAGGCTCATGCTGGGAAGAAGGGGGAAGAGGTGAAGGAGGAGATGGAGGTTGAGAATGAAGGGGAGGAGGAGGAGACGGAGGAAGAAGAGGAGGAGACGGAAGGGGAGAAGGAGGAGGTTGAAGAGGAGGAGGGGAGGAGGAGGAGGGGGAGAAAAAGGAGGAGGAGGAGGAGGAGGTTGAAGAGGAGGGGTGGAGGAGGAGGAGGAAGAGGTAGAGGAGGAGGTGGAGCAGAATAAAGAGGAGGAGGAGGAGGAGGAGGGGGAGGAGGTGGGGAAGGAGTAGGAGGAGGAGAGGGAGGGGGAGAAGGAGGAGGAGGAGAAGGAGGAACAAGGGAAGGTACTAATGAGGGATGCTGCGTGTGTTTTCAGGATGCTCGTAATGAACGGATGCTCCTTCATCATCTTCTGCCGCTGTGTGGCGCTCATCGCCTGTAACCTGCTGTTAGCTGTCGGAATCAAACACACGGACGCGCAGGTACGAGACTGCTGCTAACGACCCCCCTAACGACTCCCTAACGACTCCCTAACGACTCCCTAATGACTCCCTAAGGACTCCCTAAGGACTCCCTAATGACTCCCCTAACAACTCTCTAACGATTCCCTAACGACTCCCTAATGACTCTCTAACGATTCCCTAACGACTCTCTAACGATTCCATAGCGACTCCCTAACGACGCCATAACGACTCTCTAACGATTTTCTATTGACTCCCTAGCGATTCCCTACCGACTCTCTAACGATTCCATAACGACTCCCTAACGACACCATAACGACTCCCTAACGATTCCCTAACGACTTCCTAACGACTCCCTAACGATTCCCTAACGACTCTCTCTCTCTCTCTCTCTCTCTCTCGCTCCATTTATCTCTCTCTCTCTCTCTCTCTCTCTCTCTCTCTTT